CCATCCATCCATCCATCCATCCATCCATCCATCCATCCATCCATCCATCCATCCATCCATCCATCCATTTTTTTAATCACGTAAAACTTAACTTTGGAGAACAAAGTGAATTCCAGCGCCAACCTGTGCTGTTTTATGAACCCTTTAGTTTAGAAATAATTCACTGAGATGCTTTAGTTATAAAGGGGTGAATCATTCAACCCATGTATGGAAGCATCAATATGGCCGCCACAGGTTAAGTCCCTACTCTTTGACCTCTGGAGGTTCATCCACCTCCTCTAAATCCATATTTCCTGTCAGTTTCAAATAAATACTTTCAAATAAAGGCAACTAGTGCAAGGGAAAAAAGCTATATTTAATAATGAAAAAATATTAATTTCAGCACGAAGCATAACAATGTAAAGAGACAAACATACTATATGTCTAACTCAAGTTTAGTTTCGTATCATTGACTATTCTGTCTTATTATTGAGTGTCGGTGTGAACATGCCTGCTGTGAAGCTGCACAGGTTCAAGAAGTTTGATCTTAGCGGCTCTTATCTGAAGCAGCCGCAGAGCAGCTTATTGAACGGAGTACGTGAGGGGAAAGTTAACATATAAATTATTTAAAGCAGAAGCAGAATATTTCTTTGAAGCTTTAATTTAGGGTTTGGAATGAAAGACATGAGCAATAGTCATATTTTCCACTTTTTTACTTAGAACTGTGAATCATGTTCAGAATGAGATTAAAAGCTTGATCCTGTCTAAGCTGTTATTATCAGCAGGAAAATGGATGTTTAATAAAAAAAAAACTCCAAGAGCCACTTTAACCTCTCCAGGGAACAATTTACCTGCAATCAAAGATATTTTCCCACATTTGAAAATCACTAAATGCCAAAATTTAACCACAGTAAATAATAAACAGCCTTTAGTCTTCTGAATAACGTGTGAAAAAGAGAAAAAAAGCTTTGACTGTGATGTTCACGCTTCAGGTGTATCAAAAACATATCAGTACGCTGAATATCGCTATCTGGTCCATTTATTTTAGTAGATCTAAGCAGTCTGACTGAGAGCAGAAAGAACCCAGCGTCCATTTTCTGGACCCTGTTATGATTTTCAGTTTAGATTCATCCAATCATCTTTGCATGGCTTCATGGTGCGACTGTGAGCAGCGTACTGCCCAGAGAGGTAAACACTGTTTGATGCTGTTGAGCTGCATTCATGCCTCATAAAAAGGATGAACATGTGCAGAGTCCGAGGCTCGCTGGGAGCTTTGAAACATCAGAACAGCAGAGGATGATCCAAAATGTGGCTCGAAACGGGCTAAATATTGAGGGTCTGCGGAGAAATTTGTCTTTTAAAGATAGTTTAAACTGGAGGAGTTCCGGTTGATGTGGTCTGACTGCAGGATCCTGCTGGGAGGGAAGGTTCTGGTTTATGTTTTCTGCACGTTTCACTCATTTCAGGGTTAATTTGAAAATGATCATCCAATACTGAAGCTGTTTATTCTTTAAAGCAACAATTTAAAACATCACTACCAACTCCCAAAAAAGGAAGAACGCTATTTCATTCTTTTTCACTTTTTAACAGTAATTCCGTTAACAATTATTTTTGTAGTTTTGTTTAGGAAGATTCCTTGACCAAACCTATATACTAATAACCCAAAGGGAGGTCCTGACCTTATCTTTGACAATCACAGCTTTAAAGGACAGATTAAAACTAAATCCAAAGTGTTAAAACTTGTCGTAAAATGCTTTTTTAGAGTTTTATTTTAGGATCTGCAGTAATGTTGATGATGAGTCCCATTCAATGTAGATTTTTCTTCTTCAAACCAGTGTTTTCCAGCCCTTGTTTTCCCTGAAGAGGTCTGGGATTGAAATGAACTTAAGTGGCAAAGAAAGTCTGTGTTTGCATGAAAAATATGCAAATTAACACTCTGTGATGTTCAAAAGCTGTGTACGCTTATTTTATTGTGTCAAACACCAAGGTCGGTAGAGTGCCTAAAAATTTGAATTACAGTTAGAGCAGCAATTCTTCATTCTACTGTTACTCAAGTAAAAGTAAAAGTAGCCATTAAAGAAATTACCTAAAGTAGCATTGAAAAAGTATTTTAAAAACAAAAAGCTACTCAAGTACAGAGTTACTACTCATGATCATAACAACTGATTTAATATTTAACAAAATGATGTAAAATGGAACAAAATATTAAGTGATATGCTAATTCTGGTGCTTAAAATAATAGGATTAAAATAAACATACTACAATTACACAAAGAAAAGTTTTGTAGAATGAAAAAAAAATCATTGATAAAACATACAGAATCAACGATTACAGTAAATAAGACTTGGTTGAATATCAGTACGCTGTGTTTTCACTCAACCTTCTAATAACAAAAAACACTGCAGACTCAGATGGAAAATACAGTTTAACCAATAAGCCTTCAGTACATGCATGGTGCATTCATGTTTAATAAAAAGATTTTTTTATTCACTGAAAGTACTCACATTGGATGGAGTAGCCAAAAAAATGTTACTCGGGTCAGAATAGTGATATTTATTTTATACATATGTTTACCCCAGTAAAAGTGCATTGCTGTAAAACTATTCCTTAAAGTAACTTTCTTTTTTCAAAGGTTACTCAAGTAAATGAACTTGTTACTGTCCACCTCTGTCAAACACACCTGTTTGATTTATAAAAAAAATGACTCTTAAATTAAAAGTATAGAAAGTTAAAGAATCAATATCCTGCATGATATTTATATTTATAACAGGTTAGACTTCAAGGTTTATAGATTAATTCAGGTTTATTAAAATCAAAATTCCTCCACTTTTAACTAGTGTTGCACCGATACCGATACCAGTATCAGGCAGGGCCCTGATCCTGCACTAAAATAGTTGTATCGGTATTGGTGAGTACTAACAAATAGGGCACTGATGCCATTTTGAGAGCCAAAAGTCCTGTCACCCATTCCATGTAGGAAATAAAAAAGTTCTACTGGATTCAATTTGTATTCGTCTTTTTCCTGCTTCTCAAAGATAGACAGCAGCTTGACAAAGCCATGATTGCAATTATTTTACATCCAAGTAGTATGCAGTTCTTCATATATACACACACATCAATTTCAAACAGATGGTATCGGGGATCGGGGCCAAAAAAAGGCATTGGTGCGTCACTACTTTTAACATACAGGGGCCTAAAAAGCTGATCTGCAGGAAACCCAACTGTTTAGGAGTTTTAGTTTTTCACAGCCGAGGCTGATGTGCTCAGACTCACCACTCATGGATGTTGGTAGTTTGTCTCCTGTTTACTGCAGGCATTTCTATGCACACTGTATGCAGGCAGCTGCTGCAGAACTCTGGTTATCAGATCCGTGAACAGAGGTCAGAAATGTTGTTTACATGGAAAGAAAAAAGATCTGGTGTTTATTACAAAGGAAATGCAATCAGTTAATTAGCGACGTGTTGGACGTTGGTTTACATCTATAAACCCACAGGGATGTATGCGTGCTGATGAGTGGTTGTGCATGTGTGAGTGTGTGGAGAGATGCAGCGTTTTGAAAGACTGTGCATCCATTAAGAGTAGGAGCCAGTTCTCTATGCTTCCCGTTTATGTTTTAAGATAGTGGGAAAAAAATAACTAAAAGGATTCAAAGCATTAATCGCTGATGTTTTGATGTGCAGGATGCCGCATCCAGAGTGAATCCTAGTATGTATTGACTCAATAAAACTGTTTTCGTAATGAATCGGATATTTTCTACCTTACATAACTCCAGGTAAACCCTGAGAGATGTCGCTTTAGATTCTAAATAAGGCAGATTTAAGAACATGCTGCTTAGATGTGGATCGGCCCAATCTACTTGGTTCTGATTGGGATTTGGTGCTTACAGGCCTCCTTTCTCCTCATGTCTCTTTCAGAAAACCACTCCGCTCCCCCAGATGTGACCGGCTACACTAACAACACAGCCAACACCACCACAACAGACGGGATCCAGGTGGAGCGGGCCCCAGGCGGCGGGAACGCAGCCCAGAGGCAGACCCCTAAATATGGAAACGCAGAGCTGATGGAGACCGGAGACGGTGAGAGGACCCTGAAAAGAGCTGCGGGTGGGAGAGGGGAGGTACCGAGAGCCGAAGTCGTCCAGAAAAGACGGCTCTGTGTGTCTCTGCAGAGACCTCAGGGATGACTGCAGACAGCAGCTTTTTGCTCCATCCTTTAATCGTTCCTTCTCTGGAGAGAGCTGGAGCAGCAGCTGATGGAGTCATTCATCAGGCACTGCAATCGATGCCTCTGCGCAGTTAGACGTTGAACACAGCTCTCAGTCCATCAGCTGCCAGATATAACAGATGGGAGCTGATTGAGATGCTTCTCTCAAAGGTTTTATTTCTATTTTTGTATCAAACTAAGTTTTTTTTGTGCCGGAACTTTACTTTGATAAAGTGAAACTAATTTGAACTCACTAAAGTGGTGATTTTCACTGGCAGATAATTTGATATAGAGTCAGAAATGTCACTGACTCTTCTTCACGTGTTGCTTCTTTGTTTTGAGGTTAATTAACCTTTCCGTTTTCTGTTTATGTTTCAATAAGAGGAACATTTTTGTTCATTTTTTTCTTGCTGCAAGTGATTAAGAAAAGGTGGCTAGCTTCTTTTTGTTTTTTATAAATATTGTCAGTGTTCCTGCTGTCTTTAAAGCTAAATGAATCTGTAAAGGATTATTTTTATTATTTATTTTGGCGATAAAATGATAGTAATTGGTAAAATCCAGGTGGCTTCACTGGAGTCATTTATTTGAACCTTTTTGACCAAAAGATCCTCATCGCTTCCTGTGATTAGAGGTACTTGCCTTTGGATCTATTTTCTGTGATTATTGGTGTTTCAAATCAACAAAGGTTTTAAACAGTGAAGCAGCCTAGCTTTAAAATCCAAACTGGATTTTCATTTCTCACATGGTGGATTCCTCTGGGTTTATTTACAGGTCTCAGAGAGTGAAGACCCCCCCCATCACCATCAGAAGTTGCTTAATATGAGCTTCAGTAATGAGGAGATTTGTTCCTTTTGCGTCTTTTCTCTCTCTGCCCCAGTCGGCCTCGGCAGATGGCCGCTCAAACTGAACCTACTGGAGGTTTCTTCCTGTTAAGAGAGTTTTTCTTCCCCACTGTCGCTGCATGCATGCTTGGTGTTATGCATTGCTGCAGAGTGAACAACACAAGCGAATATACACTGTAGCTAAATGCTTATCCAGGAGGGAATTGTGCTAATTCAATGACTTGATGCACTCAGCTGGGTTTCTTTGGATAGAAAACTTTTAACCAGGTTGAACAATAAACTGAAATTGATTGCATTTGATAAGTTGGATCAATTCGTATGGAATTGACTTTTAATTTCTGTATGACTGGTTTACATCAGGGATGTAAAACTCATTTTTAAATGTTTAAATTGGGTGACTTCAGCATCATCAGGTCTTTCAAAGGGCTGGCTCTGCTTTATAAACAAAACAATTGTTACATCATTCCCTTCTCTTTATTCCTATTTATTCAGTATTGTTAGCCACTTTGTACACATAGAGCATGTGCTTCTATTTTAGAGATCAACCGATACAGTTTTTTTCTTTTTTAAGGCCGATACTGATACCGATTATTATTTCTTTTTTTTTTTTTTTTTTAACAGTGCCCTGTCTGGCAATGTGGCAATAAGAATAATTGCCTTGATGCCAAAAAGAGCCCAACAGATTTTACTTTCATGCATACAAAAATAAAATCTGTTTTATGCATATAATTTGCTTTATTATAATTATGCAGGGAGTTTTACAGTTTATATGGACACTGCAAAGTAAATAGAGCAGAAAAACATAAGAAGAAAAAGGAAAAAAGAAAAAAAATGTAAAAAGATGAAAGAGAGAGGAGATAGAAACTGATTATTTCTGACCGAGTCTGACCGATCACCACTGTACTGTTGATACCTTTGTATCGATTCTTGAAGCTGAGTTTATTTTTTCTTGCTCCTAATAATAAAAATTACAAAATGATAAAAAAAAGTTGTACAATTATCAATTTAAACAAAAAGGAAACGTATATAAACAAACAACAATGGATAACAAATGGATACATGTTCTGTAAACACATGTTATTTGATGATGCCGATACAAAAAAAAAACAAAATTGTTCAGAAATATCGGTGTATCTCTATGTTATGCTGATATAACTTGTTTGGCCCTTAAGGGTCAGATAATTTGCCATGAAGGGCCTGATTAAGCCTTAGAGCTTTGATTTTGACATGCATAGTTTGGAGAGATTTTTTTTTTGAGATATGATATTTTTGCTATATGAAATATTTGACTTTAATTGCATAATAATGCTTGGTCCAATGCAGAATTGGATCATATTTGGACCAACAATGACAGGATTTTCCTAACTTTCTCACCGTTTATGCTAAATGCTCCCTCAGTGGCAGAGCAGTAGGAGAAAGACTATTTGCTCCCTGACAGACAAGAGGCTCCTGGCTTAGTTCAGGTCATGTAGAAGAGATCCCTTTCAATTAATAAGAGAACATTCAAAGCAAAAGTGACTCATTCATTAAGAAGGAGTCAGTTTTGTCCATGAACCTTGAACTCCAAAAAAACATGCACCAGGGAGCGTTATCACAGCTGCTGTAAGACTCTATAGCCCCCACTGTTCCCAACAACCTCAATAAGTTGTTACATTCAGACTGATTTTGCACAGTTTCTATCTTAGTCAGTTAAATAACATGATGCTGTCATTTTGCACCTCTCTGGTGTTGCTGCTATTTTTAAATATCCATTACTGTAAAAATGTCCATAGCTGCATATTGGTTATTTAGTCTCCAGATGCACAGTTTTATATTGTTAAAATACTTTACAGTACAGTATTTTATTTTTTTTTATATTCTAACCTTTCACTGTTATATCATTCTTGTACATTTTTGTAAGGTTTTTTCTAAGGCACATTAGTGTGGCCATTTTTTCTATAATCTTTTTGCTGCTGTAAACACCAGAATTTCCACATTGTGGGACAATAAAGACATTTTGCTGCATTATCAAAACAGATAAGAAACAACAATGGCTGTAGCTCATTAATAAGAGACAAACTCATCCTCTGGTAGGATGATGACTCGGCATATTAATCCCATTTTCTTCCTCCAGGTCTCGATCTTGTTAATGTTTGTTTTCAACGATTTAATTACAAACTCTAATGTTTTTTGCATTGACCAAACAAAGCCATGGTTTGCAGAAAAAGGGTTTCAACTGCAAATGTGTGTCCCCTGCAGGTGTTCCAGTCAGCAGCAGAGTTTCAGCCAAGATACAACAACTCGTCAACACGCTGAAGAGACCCAAACGGCCTCCGTTAAGAGAGTTCTTTGTGGACGACTTCGAGGAGCTCCTGGAGGGTAACAGCCTTCCCTTTATTCCCCCGAAATATATTTAAATTCACGAATATGGTCCCAGATCCCTCTTCTTTCTGTGGTGTTTCCCATCCAGCATTTGCTTCGCCACATGCAGCTGAAAAATACTCCATTCAAACAAATGTTCGTCTTCTCTAAAGTGGGCTGTGACAAAGCTGATGAATATTTCCCTCTGTTTCCAGCATCAAACGCTGCTGAGCAAGACGCTCGTTGATAATTTAAGCCTGAACAGTGAATGTTAAGAAGACTGGCTTCGCTCAGTGTGTCGTTAACATTCATCACCATGGTGGTTTGCTTGATTAGAGGTTGCTTCTTGGATCACTCAGCTGTTTCCTAGTCCAAACATTTGAGAGAAGTTTGCTTTTCTCTCGTAGCTTAAAGTCCTTAAAAAGCAAAGCATTACTTTTCTTAATGGTTTTGATGCCGTTTGTTCATCTTTTACTTTTAACAGCCACAAATATATGTGTAAAATAGAC